ACCAAAGTCCGGGTGAATTGGTAGTTGCAGGCTGGAAAGGTAATGAATGCTAAATCATTGACATTCCCCGCCTTAATATTGAGCAGAAAACAACATGTCCCTGTACAAAATCAGATAGCCTACTTACAATAAATTCACAGACAGTCAGCGCCTGGGTTAATTAACTACTTCAGTTCTGCTATCTCCTGTATCAAGAGCCTCGTGGTGCGGTGTACATCTCAGGTGACTCCAGCTATCAGGACGAATGAGGTGTGTTCTCACGTACACCCAAGTCTACAGTTAGTGCAAACTTAAAGAATCATAGTTTGAAGGTATTTGGAAAGTTCCAAAACCCCGTAAAATAAGATGTTAGACATTAGTAGTGTCGGGCGGGTAAGGTAATAACTGCTTTATCATTGACATTCTCCTAGCTGTCCTTGTATTGAGCGGTAAACAACATCTCCTTGAACAAAATGTTATCGAAGTCCCTACTTATAATAACTTCACAGACAATCAACGTCTGGCTTAATTAACTAGCCTAGTTCTGCTATCTCTTGTAACGAGTGCCTCGTGGTGCGGAGTACAGCTCAGGTGACTCCAGCTATCAGGACGAGTGAGGTGTGTTCTCACGTACACCCAACCAAGTCTACAGTTAGTGCAAAATTAAAGAACCATAGTTTGAAGGTATTTGGAAAGTTCCAAAACCCTGTAAAATAAGATGTTAGACATTAGTAGTGTCGGGCGGGTAAGGTAATAACTGCTTTATCATTGACATTCTCCTGTCCTTGTATTGAGCGGTAAACAACATCTCCTTGAACAAAATGTTATCGAAGTCCTTACTTAGAATAACTTCAGCGTGTGTTCTCACGTACTCCCAGGTGTACAGTTAGTGCAGGTTTAAAGGAGCCATCTAAAATATGTTTAAACTAAGAATATAAACTTAATCGCAGTGTTTGAAATTAATCTTGATAATTGGCCATTACATTTACCTCTGTAAATTCAAGTATAATTTTCACAAATTTATGGAGACGATTTATTTTTCAATATTAAAATAATAATGTGGAATTGGAAATTAGAATATCCTTTAAATAATATCTTTCGATGATTGAACTGCGTGGCTTCTAAACATTTTTCATGAAACGGAAGGCTGAATTTAGCGCAAATCCATGGTTGATTGAACTAAGATATAAAAAAAGAAACTATATAAACACACGGTTACAGGATGTCGGGGACTGGGAGCTTGTCTNTGAAACGGAAGGCTGAATTTAGTGCAAATCCATGGTTGATTGAACTAAGATATAAAAAAAGAAACTATATAAACACACGGTTACAGGATGTCGGGGACTGGGAGCTTGTCTGAAGAGCACATCGACCTATAAAAAAAAAAAATCAAATTTGGCACTTAACTAATTTAACAGCACTGCACTTGCCTTTATCAATTACTATTGTCTCTTATCATGTTTACTAGATATGAATTATAGACACGTTAATATTTAATAAAATCAGGTGATTCTGTAACAGTCCATGGGTCCAAGGAGGGTGGCGAGAGGATAATACAGAAATAAGAAGCTACCAGTAGTAAACCGCAACTAGATCTTTAGTTGATAACGATTTTTAAATGTTGTTGGTCAAACAATCATGATACATGTATTATTCAGAAAAAAAAAACGTGCACCAGATGCTCGATAAATCAGGAGAATATTGTTGTAAATGTTTATTGGCTGATTACAACTGAAGAAATATAAATTGACTGGAATTTTCACAATTTCTCTTTCCAGATAATTTATTCAAAAACTTTTTCACAAATAAATGAGTACATGTAGTGACATAGTAAATATTACTCATATTAAAATGTCGTTTAGCTGCATTTTAGGCCGGTCTAAAGACAATGTAACTGACGTGATTTTATGGGTTACCCTCGCATCCCCCACCGTCCTTGGCAGAAAATATCATCACCTTGTCAGATGACGTGGTCTGATGTTCGTGTATATAACCCAAAAGCAGGTAGTTCAGTCCAGGGGCGTAACCAGACCTTCAAAAATTGTACGCACAGATTTTTAAAATTCCCAGCAAAATGTAGACTAACGCAAGGGATGAAGGACAGCGTAATTACAGCATATGTACCACACATCGCAGCTTAATTTCCATTAATAATGAAATCATTATTTAGTCAGAAATATTCTCGCGATTAAAAAAGTTTCAATATTCTTATTACCCAGAACGGTATATTTATTTAAAAGGAGGCTAGCTTCGCATATGTGGAACCCCCTTTGAATAATCCTGGATCCACCTCTGAGTTGATCTAAAATACGGTTTCATTCACCTTACATGTGGATGCATGGCTCCCAAAAACAACCAATTGTACGACACGACAGAGCTCTGATACATCTAAGTTTAATTATTTGTTTGTAAAAATTGCCCATGTCAGCCTGTTAGTTTGGAGGGGTAAGCTGGGTCAAGTCCATGTCAAAATTCTTTGGAGCTTTGCAGGAGAAATTCTTCCTTTGTTTCTCTAGCTCCTTCTTAAACCTGGTGTCCAGATTTTATCTAGTGCCTCCAGGGTTGCGGGAGCTGCTCTT